TGTCGACCATACCCAGGTACAGTGTGTCCACCTGTCTACCTGTCCACCTGTCCACCTGTCTCTCTCTCAGTGAAGTCAGTGGAGCAAACCTAGGTTAGACTAACACCATGTCTGTCTCCACCTGTCTCTCTCTCCCTGTCTCTCTCTCTCTCCTTGTCTCTCTGTCTCCACCTGTCTCTCACCTGTCTCTCTCCCCCTGTCTCTCTCTCTCTCCTTGTCTCTCTCTCCCTGTCTCTCTCTCTCTCCTCGTCTGTCTCTCCCTGTGTCTCTCTCTCCACCTGTCTGTCTCGTCCTGTCTGTCTCTGTGTGTCAGTGAGGATGTGCGTGCTCGGGGCTTCACCGTGGTGGTGGACATGCGCGGCAGTAAGTGGGACAGTGTGAAGCCGGTGCTGAGGACGCTGCAGGAGTCGTTTTCCTCCAACATCCACTCGGCTCTGCTCATCAAACCAGACACTTTCTGGCAGAAACACAAAACCAACCTGGGCAGCGCCAAGCTCAGCTTCGAGGTACTACTGCAATACTACTACTGCAATACTACTACTGCAGTACTACTACTGCAGTACTAACACTAATAACAATGCACCGAACCATTGATGTCAATTGAATCTCCACTAAAGTCTGTCTCTCTGTCTCCAGACCTCCCTGGTGTCGGTGGAGGGTCTGTCCCGGCTCGTCGACCCCTCCCAGTTGACCTCTGACCTCGGCGGCTCGCTGGAGTACGACCATGTGGAGTGGACCGAGCTGCGTCTGGGTCTGGAGGAGTTCTCCGGAGCCGCCACGCAGCTGTTGGACCAGCTCGAGCAGCTGGAGTCCGGACTGAGCCGTATACCAGAGCCCCAGGACGTGGACGAGGCCCGGAAGTGAGACGGAGCGTCAGGTCACTCTCTGAGTTCCGAGTGAAGTTCTTGACCGTGTATTAAAACTGTCTCACTCTCCAGACTCCTGGAGGAACACAACCGTCTGAGAAACACCATCGCCACGGCGCCAATTGACGCTCTAGAACGAGAAGGGCGGAGTTTGCTCCAGCGCATGCGCCTGGGCCCCTCACATGGCGAAGCCTCCAATGAAGTTGGCGGCGGCAGTGGTAGCCACGGCAGCTGGCTGTCTGGTGGGGCGGACTTCCAGAGCGTGGCGCCCAAGGTGTCGTCCCTGCTGGACCGACTACAGGCGGCTCGTAGCCACCTGCTGCAGAGCTGGAGCGACAGGAAGCTGCACCTGGACCAGGCGCTGCAGCTGCACCTGTTTGAACAGGACGCCACCAAGGTGAGGTGGGCGGGGACTATGACCCACTGGGCATCAGACCTACGAGCTGCTCTCTCACCTTTGATTCTTTCTGCCTGTCTCTCTCTCAGATGTCGGAGTGGATCGCCCACAGTAAAGAGCTGTTCATGCAGAGTCTGGCGGAGGTTGGCCAGAACCACCAGCACGCCCTCGACCTCCAGACACAACACCAGCACTTCACCGCCAACTGCATGGTCAGTCTGCGACCTCGTTCTGTTCCTCGGCAGTAGCGTGATCTTTAACGAACCGTTAGTTAACAACGTCTCTGAATGTCTCCGGGCAGAACGGCAGCGTGAACGTGGACAGTGTGGTCACTGTGGCGGCGAGGCTCGCAGAGGCCGGTCACTACGGCGCTGAGCGGATCTCCTCGGTGTCGTCACGGTTACAGGAAGACTGGAAGTCCCTGACAACGGCGCTGGAAGAGCGTAGCAACACGCTTGCTATGGCAACTGGCTTCCACCAGGGGGCAGAACAGGTGATTAATACACTGAATACACACTGTCTCACTATCGATTCGTCTTTACACGTCCACAACCAACGTGGTGTGTACCTGTCTGTCTGTCTACCTGTCTGTCTACCTGTCTGTCTGTCTACCTGTCTGTCTGTCCAGTTCCTGCTCAAGGTCGAGGGTTGGGTTCAGGCGTGCTCTGAAGGGCCGTTGCCATCGGCGACAGCAGAGCTGGAGGCTGCGACGAAAAAACACCAGGAGCTGAACGAAGAAATCTCTGCTAACTACACACAG